GGGGGGTAAACCCACTACGCCGAGCCCTTTTTTTTGGTAATAAATTTTTAAATGACAAATACATTATTAAATGGGTCATTAAATTTTGAAACTAGCAAACATATTTTGATAGTTCTTCATCTAATGAATGTACTTCTCATATAAGAAACCTGTTTTTGGCTATTGCCGAAAAGTAATTTGATGTCGAATTCATCGTAAAGGAATGTGCCCGAGCCGCTGTCTGCGACTCACCGGCACATGGGTTCCAATCGCGAGCCGCTGGGAGTGGCTGGCCAGAGATAAAGAGTTAATTGTCCTGATTGTATTGATTGTAATAAACAGACAGAGGTCGAGATTGATGCTGCCTGTAAGGTAAAGTGTTCACTACTGTGTGCTTTTGAGATACCGTAGATCTGACACTTTGCTGATGGTAATGTTAAATGAAAATGAAAATCACTTACACAAAAGTAAAGATAGTTATGGTGTGTGCTATTGGCCAACATGTTCAAAAAGATAACTGTATACTTTGAAATTATTCATCAGTACTCTAAAGCTGTCTCCGTGGTTTTATGCACCTTGCATAATTTAACAAAATTTGATCATTTTTTGCATAATTTCTGATTATTTTCCTTTATCATTCTTTGTTAAAATTAACAGAATCGCATAATTTCACATTTTTGGGCTCAGTTTGCATAATTTCCGAATTATTTTTTTTTGGCCTAAAACCAAGGGACAACTAAAGATAAGGCCTACTTCGTAAATTATCTAAAATATGTGGATAGGGTGCAAAACTTTTTTTGATGTGGTTAGAATAAGTAAAAAGAAACAAGTCTAAATGTCAACGAAAATGTTGGAATGTTGGGTATTTTTCAGTCTCAAATTAATGTTTTTGTGAAAACCTCTTCCACTCTTGTTTTTTAACCGTCATCCAGGGTTACCGTCCTTGTGCTCAGAGGGCGTCCATCCTGTTCTTCGTGCTCAATGACATGGGCCGCATAGACCCCATGTACCAGTTCTCCCTGGATGCGTACATAGAGCTCTTCACTCAGTCCATAGAGAAGTCTCAACGCTCGTCCAAGCTGGATGAGAGAATTATCAACCTGAATGAGTTCCACACCTACGCCGTGTACAGGTGAGGAAAGGGTAGTTGTTGTGTTCTGAGAGAGAGAGAGAGAGAGGGGGAGAGAGAGGAAGAGAGAGGGAGAGATAGAGAGAGAGAGAGATGGGTGGGAGAGAGATGGAGAGAAAGAGACAGAATGGGGCGAGGGGGAAAAAGATGGAGAGAGAGAGAGAGAAAGATGGAGAGAGAGTCAGAGAGATGGACAGAAAGAGGTGAAATGTTTAAGGGGGAGGGGG